TTTTTTTGGTCTTTTTGTGACAGGGTTTCATTGTGCAGTTCAGGTTGGCTTTGAGCTCACTTCATAGCGCAGGCTGGTCTTGAATTTGCAGTGATCCTCCTACCTCCGCCTCCGAGTGCTGGGATTATAGCCATGAGCACCCATGTCCTGCCCCCATTCCTTTCATAGTTAATTGTCTGTAGGGGGAAGACTCTTGATAGTTCATTCCCCTCAAGCAAATTTAAGCCTAATGGTGGCCTTGCATAGTGCTTGTAACCCAGGAAGTGTAGCTGTGCAACATCTATAAAAGGCTTTCCAGCACTGACTGTGTTCTGGCATGTCAGCAGCATTTCTAGCCATTAGAAGCTTCTGTATGTGACCAGAGGATTCGCTGACCCTAAGTATTCTAAAAAGGTTGTTTTTAATTCTTATGAAAGGTCATGTTGTTATCTAGATCAACACCCTTCAGGGGAAACTTAGCGTTTTGCAGCCACTGATCCTCGAGACCCTGGAAGCTTTAGTGGACCCCAAACATTCTTCTGTAGACAAAAGCAAACTGCACATCTTACTGCAAAATGGCAAAAGGTACGTGTGGGTGGCTGACCGAGTTGGGAGGTAGAGACGGCTCTTACTGCACTCGGTAACCTAAACAGTGACATACTTGGCAGCAATTCCAGATAAGATCAGTGTCATTCCTGCCTGTTGTAAAAAATACCAACTATTATTTTTTTCAACTATTTTGATAATGAATTTTTTTTACTTTATGATTTACTCTTCATTGCCATATTTTGCTATAATGATTATAAAAATTATATGGTTTACATTACACGGACATTTTAAAAGATGGTAGCATAGGTGGGAAGAGCACTTGTCTACCAGGTATGCAGACCTGGTTCAAGCTCTAGCACTGCAAAGAATTTTAAAAATTTCTGAGTATTGGGTTATTTTATCAGTTAAAAGGGAATTACCTCAGTTGGTGGTGTAAGTTAGCTGTGGGATGGTTGCCTGGTGTACGCACGGCCCTGGGTCCCATCCCCAACACAGTGAAGTACTGTCCTTAGGTTATCACAGCATGATCTTCCGCTCAAGTAAAAGTTTGAATTCACAGTGTTTATATATTTCTGGGACATTAAAAGATATATTTGTATAGCTGGTTAATTTTTACGAAGAAATTTAATTTCAATTTGAGGATTGCAGTTTGGGATTTTTATGTTTTACTTTGTTTTGTTTTTTTGAGACAGAGTCTTACTATGTAGTTCAGACTGGTCTTGAACTTGGTATGGAGCCCACATTGATCCCAAACTCAAGGGAATCCTCCTGCATCAGCCTCCTGAGTACTGGGACTAGAGATGTGTGCCGCCATACCCAGCAGGGAATGAGTCTTTAGTTCCATGAGGATTAGAATGTTTTACAGTGAGCACTTACCCAGAGTGCTAAGCTGACCTACTTGATAAGATACCCTGAAGGCATTATTCTTAGGCAAAATGTATTTAAAGGGTTGTGCTGTTGATCATTTTGCTGTAACTATTCTTACAGTCTGTCAGAGTTAGAAACAGATATTAAAATTTTTAAAGAGTCAATTTTGGAGATCTTGGATGAAGAAGAGTTGATAGAAGAGCTCTGTCTGACGAAGTGGAGCGACCCCCACATCTTGTAAGTACGATGCTACTTGGTTGTTTATTCCCTCAGTCTGGATCTTCCATCGCTTCTTTCTTAGGATGGCCTTTCATAGAAAGTAGTGTGTTGGGGAGCAGAGGACATGCACATTTTCTTCTCCAGCTGCTTCCCATTTTCCCTGTGCAGTGTTGCATCTGGCTAGGTTTAATGATGGTCTGTTGTGTATGACGCCCCCAGCACTCAACCTTTCCTCATTAGACTGCCCACTGCATGGGCCTGGGAACCTGCTGAGATAAATAGCTAGGAGCTAGTAGTGAAGAAGAGAAGGTGGGAAATGGCAGGATAAGGAAAAGATTAATATACTGCCATAAATTCTGTTTGATCTAATATCAAAATGCTCATGCTATAAACTTTTTTTGTCTCTTGGAAATTTTATGTATAACATCCCCTATTATGCATACTCAAGTTAAAGTTTACATTTTAAATATAATAGGTGGCTTTTTTTCTTCGGGGCTAGGGATATAGCTTAGTGGCATGCTCTTTGTGCAGTAGCATTGGAAATTCATTTATACAGACAAGCATCTTTGTAATGAGTGTTTCTGTAGTCTGTACAGATCATGTGAACATTCTGGAAAGTTGGTTATTTTTAACCTAATTAGAAAATACTAAGATTAAAAAAACAATAGAACTAGGGGCCCATGAGGTAGCTAAGCGGTTCGATTCCTGGCACCGTATGCCATGCCACTGAGCAGGCCAAAAAATACAATAAGACTAGGAGGGTAGGTCAGGGGCAGAGCATTTACCTAGCCTGCAAGAAGTCCTGGGTTCCGACCACAGAGACAGAAGGTAAACAGGGTTGCATAATGTGTTGGCCTGTAGCATTTGGGTACAGCAGCAGAACCTTGAACACACTTGCTTTGCCAGGTTGACATATCTCATGTATGCTTTTTTTAAAAATGTATTTAGTACAGGGATGAGACTCTTCTAGTGATCCTCCTGTGTCATCCTCTCCAGTACTGGGATTACAAATGTGTGCCACCATGCCTGTCTCAATGGCCAGCTTGGCTTGTGCAGGGGTGGGCTTCCATGGCATGTGATACTGGGAATCAAACCCAGGTCCTTGGCGCTTGCCTAGGCAGGTTCTTAGACCACTGAGCTATCTCTGCAGCCCCGAATATGCTTTATGATACAAGTATTACACAGTACTTCATTCTCTTGTCCTCCCTAGTAGTCCTATCAATATAAAAGAGACCAAAATATATATTGATTTCATACAAAGTTTAATATTGTATGTTCACCCTGAAATGGGAGTGTGCTTTATGTTTGTTTTTGAGTTTTGGCTCTGGTGTACCTGGTAATAGTTTTGGATTTTGGATTTTCCTGTAACAGATGGCATATGTTTATATGAATCTCTTACCGTGAAGCTGACCAGTCTTTGGAAGGCTGGGATCTTTGTTGTTACATTATCTGTGTATGGTTAGGATCAGTGACACAGCCTGCCAGAAACTGACCTCAGTCACAGCAATAGAAAAGACAGCTGGTGGCTGACTGTGATGGTGATGCACTAGTTCTGGAAGCACTGGTAATAAGTACCTATGATGAGCCCGCTGAGAACAGACTAACTTTGCTAACTCGAAATTGTAGTGAGAAGAGCAGTGCTGGGATCGACCACGCAGAGGAGATGGAGCTGCTGCTGGAAAACTACTACCGCTTGGCTGAAGACCTGTCCAATGCAGCCCGGGAGCTCAGGGTGCTCATTGACGACTCTCAGAGTGTTATTTTTATCAATCTGGACAGGTGAGAATGCCTCTCCTGAGACAGGCTCTGCTTTATAAACTGATTGTTGTAAGGCAATAAAGTCTTTAAGGAAGTGTCAGTTTGGAGGGAATTACACATCATGATCTGTGATGGCCACTACACAGAAGCAGTGTCTGGTTTGCTTGCTTTCTGAAGGTGTAGGTTTAACCCAGGTGCTCTCGATTAGATGACTGATGGATTCGCTCTGAGATCTGCGTTGTTCCCCCCTCTAGCCACCGGAACGTGATGATGAGGTTGAATCTACAATTGACAATGGGAACCTTCTCTCTTTCACTCTTTGGACTAATGGGAGTTGCTTTTGGCATGAATTTGGAATCTTCCCTTGAAGAGGTAAGAAAATCTTATTTTAACAATTTAGGGGTTATTTTATGATTTTTTTGTGTATGATTTTATGATCTTTTTTTAGTGGATTTTTTTAAACAGTCTAAGTTGTATACTCTCATAGCGAACTAAATATTCATTGTGTCTCAGAATTCAGGTAATACCTTATACCTATTACAATATAAATATAAATACAGTGTGCATTACTTTGTTTCCCAAGATATGTAACTGCATGAGGAAGTTTGATAACATACAGTGAGGCAGTGTTTTTCCTTTTTATGTATCTGGCAGTATACTTGGAAATTTGCATGTTGTATTTGGCTCAATCATCACAACTCTTAAAAATAGATATATTGTGTCTACGTTGTAGGTGGAAAAACAGGAAAAGTTAAGTAACTTGCCCCAGGACCCAGAGCTAGAAAGTAAGAGAGTTAGGATTTCAGCTCAGAGACAGCTTTCCACTCTGCTCTCCTGCATTCCGTATGCTCACAGCACTGCGCGCTCTGAGGATTTTCAGAGACTCTCATTGTTCTGTTTTCTGGCAGTGATCTGAATGTACAGTTGGCAGCCTGGTGCCTGATTCAGTGCGCATCAGTCCAGAGGTCTGCTGTCCCTTTCTGGCTGTCACCCTGATCCAGTCTACATCTTCCCTCATCAGGACTGCTGTACACTTGTAACGAGAGCTCTTTTAAAAACATAAATATTATGACACTGTTTCGTGGCTTTCAGGTAGCCATAAGATCAAATCCCTTGCTCTGTGTGGCATGATTTGGTCTGCTCCCCTGTAGCCTCAGCCACTCAGGACAGATTTCCAAAGACTCCTCTGACACGCTGCCCCAACACTGCTGCTGCCCTGCCCTCCCGTCGTTATTGCCGAGTTAACTCCTACTCATCTCTCAGGTCTCAACTTCCATCATTGCATAACCCAGACAGAAAATATAATGTCCTTCACAGGTGATCCTGTGCTTCCCTCTGCACGGGCTCCAGATTTGCAGTGCTTATTTAAAATCTGCAAAAGATCAAGCTCCCTGAAACAAAGTCAACACTAGTCATTACTGATGCTTCTTGTGATGAAATGTAAAAGGAGGAAATACATTTGTTCATTGGTTCAGTCTCTTCACAATACAAAAGCTTTTCTTACAAAATAAAGTGTCTAAATTTTTCCAATAAAAGACATACTGCCATTAACTCACCTCAGAATACTCACTCCACCCTTGCTTCAAGTAGGAGCATCCCATTGTTCTTGGCTGTGTCTACAGCAGATCTGGAGGTCTTCTTTCATGAGTGTCTTTACTATGTCTGACCATAAATGTGGTGACTGCTGTTGCTGAGTGTGGAAAGGCAGACTCGTAAGGACATTAGTGTGTCCTCGCCTACATTGTTCACTGGTTCTGGTCACCTGTGACTTTGGGCTCTTGTCCAGAGTCAAAATGACCATAAAAGTTACATGTTTTGAACCAGTTCAGGATATCAAGGACAGCCATGTCAGCACAGCTAAAGACATAAAAGAGGATTTGAACTGCTTTAATAAGTGGCAAGAATGATAAGTGTGTTTAAAGTGCTATTCTGAGAATGATGGCATTACCTTTCACTGTAATAAATTTTTAGAATATAAATATTCATTGTATTTTTTGATCATACCTCCTATGTTAATGTCTCATATGTTAAGTACTCAGGGCTGCTTTATGCTCATAGAGCAGTAAGTCCCTGTCCTAATGAAGATTACATTATAGAGAAGGAGAGAGGTAATAAAGTACATTCAATGTTAAGTGCTACAGGTAAAGGGACAGGTAAAAGAGCAGGTAAAGGGACATAGGATGCTATGTCAGTACCATCTTAGAGAGTGTGTAATGGAAGTGACATTTGGTAAATGTAAGTGAAGAGTGAAGGTGGGAAAATCTTGGAGAGCATTCCAAGCAAAGGGAGCCATGTGTCAGAACAGCAGGAGTGAGCTGAACTTTTCCACACCAAGAAGGTCACGGAGGCTGAAAGATGTTGCATGGGGGAGAGTGGCAAAAAATGAGGCCAGAGAGACAGGGCTGCAGTGTCCCCGAAATTGGACCTCACCTGAAAGATCTCAGAGTACAGGCTCACTAAGAACATGGCCATGTGGATAAGGTATATATGGAACGTAAGTTAATTTTGTGTTTAGATTCCTGATATCTACACATATGCAAATGTTCCAGTTTTGAGGACTCAAAGCTGAAAATTCAAATTAAGTTGTATGTGCTTGTGATTATTTAAATTTATCTCTACATATGTAAACAGACTGGAGAGAAACAGTAAAGGCAGTTGCACATGGCTTCTGGTGATAAGAAGTATTTAAGCCTGGAGATAACTTCACCCTCTGGTTTATTCTGATTCGGGGCCTCTGGGGATTACAGAGGTACTTGGTTTTAGTTTGCTCTGAATAACAAGTTTCCTTGGCATTCTGGGGCAGTAATAGTTGAAGACACTTTAAGGAACCTGGCTTGTGTGATGGAAGTAAACTGCTCTCCTTTAGGACCACAGAGTATTTTGGCTGATCACAGGGATCATGTTCATGGGAAGTGGCCTCATCTGGAGGCGTTTGCTTTCATTCCTGGGGAAACAGCTAGAATCTCCTTTGCCTCCTAAGGTAAGATGGGTATGGCTTACAGCTCTGTCTCAGTTACAGTCAGGGGCTCTGCAGTCACACAGGCTGGCCTTAAGTTGTCTAGCCCTGCACAAGTTACTAAACTTCTGTAAATCTCCAATTTCCCTTGCAGTTAAATCACTACTCCTGCTTGATAGGACTACTGAGAATTAGGTGAGATAGTATGTCCAGCGCAGTGCCTACACAACAAGTCAGTGGATTGTGTGCAGAGCACTCTGGCAAGCATGGTACACATAGACAAGCGTTAGTACCTCTGGTGCAAGGTTCTGTCTTAACCAGAGTAAGATGTACAAAACGTTTATATTAAGAAAATATAGGGCTGGGAGATGGCTCAGTAGAATAAGCGCGTCCCTGGCAAGGGCCTGAGTTCAATCCCCGGTTCTGCCAAAAAGAAAAAGAAAATATAAAGCTTTCCTCACCTGTTTCATCCTGTTTCATCTGTGTATTTGAAGATAACTCCTTGGGCATAAGTACTTAGGATGTTGACATATGACTATAGTCCTTCCTTCAATATCATTTTACTAGTGGCAGTTCTTTTTTTTTTAGTGGCAGTTCTTTCAAGAAAGACCCAGACTAAAGTGAAGTTTATCCTGCTTTCTTTAGATGTCCTCTTTACCTAAGAAGACCCTCCTGGCAGACAGAAGGATGGAAATGAAAAACAGCCTCAGGCCAGATGGACTTGGATCGAACAGAAATATCCTCACAACCCGTTAGCAACAACCTGGTGGAGATTAATTTTTTTTTATACTTAAGATACTTTTATAGAGCCATACACTTGAAAAAAAATCAAAATTTAAATTATGGTGTCTGATAATGTTACGGCCATTGCAATACTAGGAACTGATTGCATTTCCAGAATTCTGAGTAAATAGCCAAGGGATTGTTTTATGGAAGGCCAAAAACCACATTTCCTCTGGACTTAAAAATACTGTTTTTATAGCTAAGGTGTGGGACATAGAGAATAATTTAATGCAGAAATAGACTTCTATAGATTTTATTTATACATAAAAGTGCAATCTCATGCTGACCAAAGCCTCAAAGTTTGCAAGCTCATAGTTTCTGAGGTCACGTGCTGGCAGTTCTTAGCATAGGAAACCTTAGTACAGGGAATTGAAGTGAACTCCTGACATGCTAGCACAAGACTTTGCTGCCCTTAAGCTCTGGCAATTTGTACTTTAAAACCCATCCTTGGCCTAACCTCCTCTTCTTTAACTTGCCCCTCTTTTATACATGTACATAAAAAGAAAAGACGAACAGCGTTTCACTCTCTTTACCCCAGAACTATTATCCTTTGCTTGATTATAAATAGAGCCTTTGGAAGTAAAGTTGAAAGGAAGTTTTTCTTTCTGTTACTGTTTTATAGCTAATTGATTTTCTGATCTCCAAAGATCTTTAAAACCATCTTGCCCAAAATGAAAATGTACATAGTTCAACTAATTCTATGTGTGTACTTCAGAGGTTAACAGATGAGTGCTCTAAAACAAGAGGACAGGTAACTGTTAGAATTCTGGCACTTACGGTCACAAGAAGATTTTATTGTTCTATAGATTTTATTTATACCAGTAAGATTGGTTTTAAACCAATAATACTTGTTTAAAACAAATGGCTCACATTTACAAGTCTGAAAACTGTATCTTAACATCTTACCTGCCATTGTATATTTTTTGGAGGTGGTTGTCCCATACTAGAATGTTACAGTTATACATACCCCCAAAAGTAATAGGATGGCCAGAGCAGCCCTTGTACTAGAGATGAGAGTAAGCAGCCCTGCCCTGATGGTGCTGAGGGTACTGGTCACCCTAATGTGATGAAGTGTAGGGGTCCACTTAGCAGGTGGTTTGGTGAGAGGATAACAGTGTTGTTCCAGGAGCTGATTGGAAACATCTGAAGTTATAGCTAAAGCTCCCCTCACCCTGTGTGTGGCTGTGGGAAGCCATTAGAGGAGGGCTGGAAAGGACTGTATGGGTAGAAGAAACAGTTTGGACTGGTCTTAGGCCTCTTGGCCTCACTGTGGGTCAGGACACCCTCACAGTATGGACGCTGCAGTGGGAACATGAGGACCTCCAGCGTTGGAAATCCTACTGACTGTCAAGATCATCTTTGAGTCTGGGTGGATTTTACCTCATAGGGCATCCTTCAAAACACTGCAGTCTCACCACTGTAAATAATAAGCACTGTGATCTATGAAGACTTGGAATCCCAGAGCACAAAGTTTAAGATCAGGCTTAGGGTTGAATTTTGATCATTTTCCTTCCCTAGTTTCTAGGCTCAGGTAAAATGATTCTAATTGGTCATGTCCCATTAGTAAAAGTAGTGTAACTACCTCAAAAATCTGATAAATGGAATTTACAGATTTTTTTTTAAATTCTTGAAGGTGGTTAGGGCAGAAATGATTTTAAAATATCAGCTCTGCTTCCTGATTGCAGAGTATTTCTTACAGTATAGTTCTTTTGGATAATAGAACAGCCAATACCAGGTGATGCAGCATATTGGTTGTAAATTCTGAAGTAAATAGAGAACTTTGGTACTTGAAAGAAAGGTAGTAAAGTGTCAAACACTGGGATATGTGAAGAAGCAAGCACTTCAAAGTATACCCATACCACGCTTAACATAAGAGTTGTCTAGCAGGCTTCTGACCCAGTATGGACAGAACTGATGTCCTTTTGCTATGCTGTTAGTTACCTTTTGCTTTATTTATTCTTGATAAACAACAGGCTGTGAAATAACTATTAAAAGGTTTCACATTAAAAACATACTGTTTTGTGTTTTTCTAAGAATTAGAACTTTTTGTTTTGGAGTAGCAGTGTTAACGTCACAGTTTTACCAGGCATGTTGGTGCGCATTGACATCCCAGCTCTCGGGAGGGGGAGGCGGGAGGATGGCAGCAAGTTGGAGGCCATCCTGGCTACATCATGAGCTCCAGGTCAGCCTCAGCTACACAGTGAGACTTTGTCTCAAAAAAAAATAAATAAATTTGAACTTAGCATTTCCTTCACTCTGTAGTAGCGGCTCAGCAGCGACCTGAGGACACAGGGCCTGTGGCTCCCACACAGCTCCATCTCGCCTCAGTCACTCTCATCACTGGGCCTGTGATCCAGAGGCACACAGCAGGTCCAGTCCTGAGGCCTTGAAGGCAGTTGTTAGGTATAAGATAAATAGAAAATGGAAATATGTAAATAGCTCACGAGAGCTTAATGTGAAGGTAACCGAGATGAACTATTGTACATGTTCAGATTTGTACAAATGAGAAAACCTACCGACCTTTCCCTTTTAGTCATTAAGCATTTCAGAGCCAGCGATTACAACTACAGTTACTATTTAGAGGAATGAAAATTTTATGTAGCCATTGAGATAAAATACTAGATTGTCATGTATTTTCTGTATACCAGGTTTTTTGTATTTATCATATAGACTGACCTTCGGCAGTGGAACTGTAATTTTTGACAGGATAATATGGCTAAATGTCCTCTAAACTTAGGAATGTGCTTCCATTATTACAGAATTTTAACCTTTACTATATGCTTGTTATTTGGAATGCTCAAGCACTGAGAAAAAGGCAAATTCTGAGGTCAATAATGGTCAGGTTTAACACACTCCCCCTGGTAGTTCAGAGCCACCCAGCAGCAAGACATACCCACACAAGGCTTGTCGTGAACACCATTCAGTGCTGCATGAAAACCCTGACACCAGTGTGGCAATGGCAATGTGAAAGAATGCATCCTCCTCTGAGATCAGTGCTGATAAAAATGGGCCTTCATCCTGTTCAACACTCAGATGTCTCAGCTTGCAAGTAAGCCAAGTAATTTTTGGTCCACTAAAAACACTTCTTTAATTTATTTTTTATGTTTTCTGTATTTAGGACAGCGGAGTCTACAGCATCTAACTATATAGATTGAACTCATAATGATTCTCCTGTTTCAGTCTCCCAAGTGCTGGGATTACAGGCATGCACCACCACGCCCAGTCTCAGTTACCTTCTCAGCACACCCTGCAGGTGGGGCCCGCACGGCACACCAGGGATCAAACCCTGGCTGTTGCACTCTGCCTAGGCAGGTGCTTTAGTCCCTTGAGCTATTAGGCCAGCTCTAAAAATCCTTCTTTTAAATAAAAATAATTTTTCACATTGGTTGAGTGACCAGTACTTCGTGCCCAAGCAGAGGCCATCTCCATTTGCCACTCCCTTGGGGAGCCTGTGACTCACCACTATGTGGAAGGCATAGCTGTGTGTCTTCCTGTGTTGGCCCACCTGGTGCACACAGTGGCTTTTTCTTGGTTACTAATTTAACCTTTCAGCTAGATTTTACATCCTCTTTCCTCCTTCCCATCACTGAAAAGCACCTGAATAGCCTAAAAGGAGGATATGTTCTGTGCTCTTGGCCTCGGAGGGTTTGTCCATGGTCAGTTGGCTGTAGCTTTGGGCCTGTGTTGAGGTCTGCATCGTGTGGAGCCATGTGGTAGAGTGGTGGAGAGCTGGGCTCCCAAGACACCCTTGAGGGCTAACTCCCTGCAGCCTGCTTCTTCCAACTAGGCCCAGCTCCTACCGTCTCCACTGCCTCCCAGTAGTGCCATAAGTGGGGGCAAAGTCTACAACATGAACTTGAACATTCAAGTTACAAATGCTAGCATCTAGCAATGAAAGGGATTTTTTAAGAGATACTGTGTGGAGACTGTCCTGGGACTTGGCCACAGAGAGCCCTTCCAGGCATCAGACAAGTGTCAAGGTTGTGTGGCAAACTGGTCAGAGCACAGGCAATAGGCTAGAAAAGAAGAAAGGCTGAAACGCAAAGCAAGCACAAAAGGAAACTTGAGAAGACATAACCAGAATGCCTGCTAGTTCACAGCTTCTGATGGAATCGTTTATTTCCAGATGATTTTGAGTCTTATTTCCAGGAGCCCCACCACAGCTCTGCTGGTGTAGCAGCTTGTCCACCGGAATGCTCATCCTGGTGACAACTTGGAATGAGGCCGAGGGGCAGGGAGAAAAATAGAATGCACTCTAGCTGAGGCTATAGACATGCAGTGCTCCAGAGAGCCGGGCTCCCAAAGAACTCCTTCCAGCAGCAACGACAACTTGGTTCTGTAGGAAACACAACAGAGTCCATGAGTCACTCATGTGTCTGTCGGGTTCCTACTGCCATCTGGGCAGCACACTATGCCCTGGAAATACGACACAGCATGGTGCCAGATCCCACTCTTCAAGCATAAGTGCCCCTCTCTCTTTAGCTACCACTTTGTGGATCTGCAAGAACCACAGCCGAAGAAGTTCACCTGATCCCCTCTGGCACAGAAGAATAAAAGAAAACCACCGACACAGGCTTATTCTGGTCTTTGCTGTGTGGTACAGTATAGGTGGCATAGGCAGAAGACTGAAGACTTCCTCACAGGCTGCCTGTGTGCGTTCACACGACCGACGCACTGCTGAAGTGTTACAGCACCAGCCTCCCAGCTGCCTTCCATACCTCCTTCTACGGATTGTTCCACACCTTCAGTGATCTCAGCAAACTCTTCATGCTTACTACCAAGCGTGATTCATGAGGGATGGGTGATCCAACTATTTTGGTTAGAGAAAGGAGTGACAGTTTTTCACTGACTGACTTACATTTTTAACCTCCCTTTAAGAGTTCAGAAATAATGGCTAAAGTGTGTTGAGACTATGGTGTCAAATTCTAGGCTTAGCCCTTTGTCAGTTAAAAGGGAAAAATTAACCAAATGGCAATTTCTTCTCTTCCCTTATTGATGTACTGATTTACTAAATGTGCTTATATTTTGGGGGTGACCTCAACCTCCATTTCCTGAGCAAGCTCTCCTTATTCTTCAAATCTTACGCTCCCGAGCTGCTGCCCTTGGCCAGGCTGAGTCTTCGTCTCCCCGGGCACAGCGCAGGGCCTGTGGGCTCTGCAAGGCTGGTCCTGACCGCCTGAATTGGACGCTTATAGGGGCCAGGCCCACAGCCTGGGTCTTCTTGCCTGCCTTGTGCTCAGTGTAGCACTGTTACACAAACTCGCTTAGCCCACTGACAGCAGCGTCCTGCGACAAGGTTTGGAAATCTGAGCAGTGGCAGCATTTCGTAGGCTCATGCGAAGGCCATCTACTTCTAGTTGCTGCTGCTGCTAGTTACATACTGCTCATTTATTCTAGAAAGGAAGCCGTCTTCAGTCTTCAAAATCATGGCTTCCACTCAAGTAAGTCTTGGAGAAAGGACACTCCGATCATTCTCCAACTGTCAGTTTCTGGTTTTAAACATTATATACTTAATCTATCTACGTTGACCATGCTGTAGTGCCTCCCAGTGTCAGGTATGTACTGGGAAAGTAGAGGAATTTTAATATTGACCCATGTGGATTATAGG